GGGGGGGGGGGGGAACGACAACGACTTTGGGTCCTTATCCTGGACAGCTAAGGGCAGCAAAGAGAGGCTAGCCCACATGGACCAGTAATCTGCTTTATTGGGAGGGGCTATAGCTCAGTCTCATAAGGTATCAACGATTCAACCCAGGAGCATCTTAGGTCAAAGGCTGATAAACAGCACGCCAGAATTCGGGATTGGGCTGGATCCAGATATTCATTGTCCAGAGCCTGCAGAAATCTGCTTCCTAGGTTCCGAAGGAGGGCTTATAGGACAAGCCTCGTATCCAAGTGACCTAAGGTTGAACCTTCAGCAATACGTAACTGGCCCGTTAGGAGTGGGCTGCCGTGGGCGAAATAGGGTCGTGTGGGGTCAGGTGGAGACGCCATGTACCAGTTGGTGTGATCCTCATCTCCAAATGGCATATCGGCGTTTAAGCGACCCTATTGGGTCTGGCTCCTTCCAATATCATGAAGCAGTTTAAGAAGCAAGCCCACTTGCCACTACTGGCAAATCAAATATTTCAGCTACTCATCAGCAGAGGAGTAAGGGAAGTTACAGTTCTTTTCGGACTCTGGTAGACGATGGCTAATGCAGTGCATGACTTTAAAAAAAGAAAAGAAACTCTAGGATTGTCCTTGGTTTCTCTCAAAGGACCGGTCAATAAACTGCTCACAGCCAAATCCATGCAGGGTGATATAGTCGCTCCCATGGTCACACTTAACCTATGTTCCACTAGCTGTAGCGCTTGCACCAGATGTCCTGAATCTCAGACCTCCCCACCGGCCTGTCTCACAAGACACAGGCACCCACAACTTCAAGATATCTACACAGGACTCACATTCCAGTTGAGGCCTACCAATTCAGAAGTGTAGCCTATGTTTTCCAATACCTTGATTACAGAAACATCAGTGCTTAATACACAACAAGTCTAAGTGGAGGAAATCCTATTTTCATTTTAGCCAATGCACCTACAGTATCTGTGCTGAATGCATCTATACACACACTATTTTTTTCTGATTTTTAACCTCTTTCTTTCCCAAAGAACACCAAGTCATACACAAGCACTTCACCCAACATCTATGCTACCTCCCATCAGCACTTCACCCTGTGAGATTTATGGCTAAGCAGGAATTTAAACCTAGTATCTTCAGTTCTAGACTGACACTGTAACTATTCATCTACACTGCCCCTTTCCCACATGAAATGTTCCCTCCTGCATGTTTGATGAAGAGGATGGGGGGAGTGCCTTTTCTGATATGACAGCTAGCATCTGCACTTTTTTAAAAAAGTGTTAAAACACTTTGCCTAATTAGTCAAAGGATTTCCCTCTTATTATTTTAAGAGACTGAGAAATGTTGGAGCTGCAATACAGTATTTATACATTTCTGTTAGGTAGGCTTGGATAAGAAAAATGTGCAGTTCATAAATATAAAAACATACGTTAAACACAGCACATTCCATGACACCCGGCCTCTTGCTAGCTACTTTCAAAAGGGATGGGGGGGGGAGAGCAAAGGAGCCCTCCCTGCTGCCCGCCTGCCACTGCAAATCCCTCGTTTGATGTGAAGCCCGGTTCTGGCTGTTCCCCACCTGCCTGCTTCTCAGTGTGCCCATCTAACTTCCTTACATTATTTCTGAAAACAAAACAGACTGGCAGCAGAAGCAAGACAAAAACAGCTGGAGTTCAGGGGTCTGCAATAAGATTAGAACTACAGCCTGGGGAGAAGAAGAAGGGGGGGCTGCCCTTTCCCTTCAAGCCTGCTTACCCGCAAGTTCATTTCTGCAATGCCTTTATCGAATCAGAAGCCAGGCTGGTTTGGCTCTCTCTTTACCAGCGCCTCTGGCAGACCGAACAGAGAAAAGGCACACCAGCAGAATCTCCGTGGACCTTTGGACATTACCTGCTGGGGCTCCTCTCTCCCTGCTGGGCTTTCCTCCACATGCCCACTGCTTAACGTCCTTCTCCTGGGGCTTTCGTTTGCCTCTCAATTTTGTGGATCCACCGCCTAAGCTCCTGCTATGGGTTTCGCTCACCTTGTCCATCACAAGATGGGAAGGTGCAAGGGGACCTGCGTCAATGCAAGCAATGCTGGGTGGGATCCCCAGTCCTGTCCCACCCCCAAGTCCCTCCCCCTCCTGTTGCAGCATCCTTGTGAAAGGGAAATGGAATTACTGTAGGGCCCTTTTGTGACATTACCATCGTCAGAAGGGGCTGGGATTCAAATCAAGCATGCCTTCTACCTTCTGTGATTTCAGAAGGCATTATCCACCCACTCCCAAGTGTATCTCCAGAGGGATGAAGCCAAGGAACCTGACGGTCCTTTTTGAGACAAGAGTAGACACGTTCAGGAGGCCGGATGCTCCTTAACTCTCGCTCTCTCTGAATTTCTGAAGAAGAGCTACATGCGCACTGCTTATATATTGTCTTGCTTCCCCTGTTCGCTTAGCTGTAAAAGGGAAACACTGCTGTGACAACCTAAGGAAACAGTTAGGTGCACCATTATGACAAAAGCCTCAAGCTTTCACTTGCAAAGTGGAACAAAGCCCAAAGAATTTTTCAGCAGTTTACAACCTTGTAAGACCTGCTGGGACCCGTTTATTTGGCAGTGAGAACAGGCAACAAGAGGGAATTTGTGCAAAACAAAACAAAAAGCAGAGCGAACTGGTTCCGTTTGCTTCACAATTTCAATCTGTTGTGTTCCAGGGCCAGTTTCTTGGCCCAACAAGCATGGAGGGAAAGTGTTTGACCTGACAATCTGCCAGGAACAGCAGCTAAAAATTTATAGATCCCCGAGCCTCAAAAACAGAGGGGTCAGCGTTTGTTCCACCACGCTGACTTAGCTGTCTTTGCCACTTTACATCGCCCTCCACCCCAACATGGCAGGAGGCGTT